CCATTTGTTACCCAATAATTTGTACAATATATCTTACACATTGAGGAATATTTCCTTCCATTGTTGTTACTTTATCAAATTCCTCTGGGAATTCTTTATTATATTCTTCTTAATATTGCCAATAAGTTTGAATCAAAGAATTCATTTAAAGAAGTAAATTCTGAATTTGTTTATAAATTTATTAATTTAATGTTTTATTTAATTAAATGGAATATTAAATTTTATAATACAATTGATTTAAACATCTTATTTATAATAACTTTATCAACATTAATTCTTTATATCAAAATGAAATCTTTCTTTTGTGCCAAATACAAAACTTTTCTTTGTACCATAAACAAAATCTTTCTTTATACCAAGAATGAAACCTTTCTTTATATCAAAAAATACAACAATATATTAATAAATTTAAAGTTGAAACTATATTTACATATACATATATATATATAATAATAAATAATTTTTACATTACTTTATAAACTTTCCCTAGCAAAATTCTATTCTTAATATGTAATATTATAATAAATTCTAGTAGAAAGCATACCTAAGTGACTGGGTTCTGTAATTACTTGTAAAAAATAATTATTTGTTTGCAATCAATACGAATGACAATTTTCTACACACAAGATCACAGAAACAAAAAAAAACTTTAAGGTTGTGATTATCTACGGTTTTATTAACAACCTGCCTCAAAAATTTTCATGAAATAGATGTATACTATAAAGAAACTATATATCAAATTTGGTGATGATTGCTAAACAACAAGGGCACTAAACTGGGGTTTGAAAGTATTCGATTGTAAATTTTACTATGAAAAATTCGATGCCGATCATCAAAATTCACTATGTTTTTGCAATAGAAATAAATTTTTGTGACATGTCCCACGACTGATAATTAATAATTCATCATCATTTATTTCCTCTCAACTTTAATTAAATGGATAATAATAATAAATGTTTGTTATACAAAAATTAGTGCATGTAAAAACATGATTTTTTTTATAAAAATTTTATTCATTATATCATTGTAACATTTGGAGAAAACAATAGTTTTTGTTTTCAAATTGTTTTATGTGAAGTTGGTGTTACATAGCATAGTAATTTAAAAATGACCGGCTTTTTTATTTATTATTAAGGTAATATATAAAAGTCAATTTATAATAAAACAAGATTCTACTACATTGAGCTGTTTTGTTTTCATTGACTTTTTTATAAGCCGAACTTTCTGAACAGTTTTATGGCCAGTAATTACACAATAGCTTGTTTAGTAATTCAATTCAATGGGAATAAAATGGGAATATCAGTTTGAATGAATGAATGAATGAATAGTAAGAGCAAAGATTAATAGATAATGAGCCTTGCTAACAATAATTTATCTAAAGTCAATCAAATATTAAAGCAGTTGTTCCACGGGAAGTCGTGGAATAACAATATTAATATTTAAAATATCAATTCGGAAAATTATGTACGATACATGATCATAACTGGCACCTAATATAGTAATATAGTAGTGTTTGAATATCAAACTTAATTTAAATAATACTGTGTCACTATTCACAGAAATTTATTGTTTTTCATTTTTAATTTTCCCAAAAAATCCATTGACATAAAGCTCCGAACGAATCAATGAAATTCGAATCGAATCGAATTGAATCAAATTTGAATTGTGCTCTGATTCGATTCGATTCGATTCGAACTGATTTGAATATTAAATATATATTTTTTGATTCGAACTGATTCGATTCAATTTGTTTTGAACTGATTCAAACATATAATTTGATTCGAACTGATTCAAATTAACTCAATTCGAACTAATGATTGTGGCCGAAACTACGCTTAGTGGGCCGAAATTGCCGAAATTATTGGCCTAAGCTTTGACGAAACTAATTATAATGGCTGGAATTGGAAATTTTTAAAATAAAGTAGATTGATTTAGATATTTATTATATATGTATTAGACGAAACTACCTTTTTTTCAAAAACAGTTTCGGCTACCATCACTAAATAATATCCTTTACCAATTAAAAAATTTAAAATATACACAATCTTGGTTTAGCAGATAGTTTGGGTTTAGAGATTTTTTTCCAAAAATCCGTTATTATTATATTCAAACCTTGTCATAGCGGACTATAATAATAATAATAATTAAATTCTTATAATAACGGATTTTTAAAATTTTTGCTTCACATATAAAAACATAAAATTTTTCTCATTATTATGTGTCCCGTCTATCCGTTGTGACTTTATCAAGAAATCCGTTATATTGAGAAAAATTTTATTATTATTATTATTATTATTATTATTACTAAACCACAATCTGTTATTATCCATTAAATTGAGGTACATTATATTGAGATTCACTTATTTAATATGACATTAAGAAAAATTTAGAATCCGGTTTGAATCCAAATCGAATCGAATTGACTACAGAACGAATCGAATCGATTCAAAATTCGAATCGAATCGATTCGATTCGATTCGGAGCCTTACATTGACAGAACACGATAATACACAATAATGAATTTTGAAATCTTTCGTTTATTATAGTGCATTATGAACAATACAACTTGTATCATAAATATAAAGAATAATTAGAAAAAATTGTAAAATAAATAAATTATTATTACACTTAATGTTGTTTTTTATTAATGATGCTATTAATTAGTGCTGTCAATTCAAACTGCCGATTAAATATATCTTGAAGTTGTCGGCGACTAATTACTATTTGATCATTTTGACAATCATTAGAATCTTCAGAGCTTTGATGAGTAATGTTCATGTTGTTATTGTTACTGATATTATTATTATTGACACCCATTTGAATTACATTGCTTAGATTGTTAAAAGAGCCTTGTTGAATGGAATCATTGTGAACCAAATTTCCATGAGTGGAATCAGTAGAGTCAATGTTTTGATGAAGATTATTGTCTCCAACATTTGTTTGTCCATTTGAACAAGGAATAAGTCTAAGATGCTGATTATCAATACTGTTATTAATATTGTCAGAATTATCTTTACCCATTTTTATTATTTTTGAATCTGTATGATTATTTTTTGGTGCTTTTTATGTTAGTAAATTGTTACACGATTCATTTTTGTCATGCAGTACAAATAGCCAATACTTAATTTTTTTCTTGGAATAATCATTTTTTATTTACTATTTTGTTTCTTGGTACCATACGTAATGTAAATAAATATGATATATGCTGAGCTTTTTATAGTCATTTAGATAAAAATGTTTTATATAAATATGTTTTAGATAAAAATGTTTTATATAAATATGTTTTAGATAAAAATGTTTTATATAAATATGTTTTAGATAAATATGTTTTAGATAAATATGTTTCCATTTACAAATATATCTACTCTTGCAACATTGTTTATAAAAATGATAAAATAAATTCTTCAACTATAAATTATTATATGTTATTAATTAATATATACTGTATATAATATAAAACATGTTAGAATTTTTTTTGTTACATTCTTTTAAATAGATTATTATATTTTTGTTGTTTGGCTTTTCCAAAAAATATCGTTGTTTTATTGTTTTATTTTAGTGGGAAAATATTTGTCATAGTACAAGCCCAATTTGTAGAAAATGTTATTGTCAAAAAAAAAAATAATACCATATTTATATTAATAATCACTGTGAATACTTGCTTATTTTCATCATCCTTCGTTACACCTTTCTAAATTAATAAAACCATTGAAGTAATCATTATCCATCATAATCATCAAAGCCATTATTATCAATTGCTTTATATTTATCTTCATTTCTTAGATGAACTTTATATTCATTATTGGTCTCTGTTCCATGTTCAAAATTATTTTTCAAACCTTTTTCATATAAACAAGTTTTAAATGCATTTCATAATCAATTCACTCCAATTATGTTCTGATACTGCGGAAGAAGCGGGTAATTTTATTACTAAAATTGGAACATCTTTTTCTCTAACCAAGCAATTGGATCTTTAGTTGCTTCTTTTAGTCACAAAAAAAATTCGAACAAAACCAATCAGACTTGTCATGATATTCCATAACCTTGTTTTCCAATATTTGTTTCATCAAGAAATTTAAATATTTCTTCAATTATATATGAAATACTTGAAATGAAAATTCCAAATATGTTTTACTTTATAATCATCCTTTCACTATATAATCTGTATAACCACACCCCCTAATAAACAATATTTCACCAAACAATACCTCATTAAACAAACAATACCTCATTAAACAAACTAAACAAACAATACCTCACTAAACAACAAAAAAATAACAAAAGAAAATATTTATTTACATGGTATTAGTATGAAGACCAATCCTTTATTTCAGCGCTGACTTGTATTTACATGATATATTTATAGAAAAAAAATCAAACGAAGGGATTCTAAAGCTATTTATATATTTTCGCTCATCTAGTTTCCTTATTTTCATCAAGTATTGATATAATACTTTGTGTTATTAATATTATATTCTAATTAGAAGAATAATTTAGTGTTCTCTCTAAAGTGAATGAATAACTTTAAATAGAATTTCTGAATTCAAAGAGTTACATAAATTAAAAGTTGATGTTGATGATTATCATTTTCCCATTTTTATCACGTGTTCCGTTTGTAATATTCATATTTCAAAAAAAATAATAGCAATTGCCGGTGATATAATTTTTCATCATAATGGTTGTTTATATGTGAAGTCTCATTCTTGATGGGAATTATTGATTTTGAAATTTCATTTCCAAGAATAATTGCTGTGTGAATTATAATTATATAAATTTACTTTTGACACGATTTGAATTTGACTCACAACAATGTCAAAATAATTAACTGTACTGTGAGATGGTAAATTATGGCTTTTATATCCGAGGACGTCATCAATGACGCGCGACACGGCAAATGTTTCGTTCCTTTCTTGTGTTAATAATTCTATTTTAGAAAAATAAATATACTTAATAGTTAAACCCTGGGTAGTACGGGTATAAGTTCAATTTTACTTTGTAAAATTGAGCTTAAACTTGCATTATCCCAGTGGTTTAACTGATTTATCCCCCATCATTTATGTCATTTTATGTGTAACTTTTTCCACTATCAAGAAGATTTGTTGGGTGGTTAATAACAAATTAATTTATTCTTTTCTAAAGTTCATCTCGTCTTGCGGAATGTTACACTGCTCCACTATTATCATTACTATTACTAAAAAACTATTACACATTCTAATAACAATGGTAATTTTAATATTTAAAAATGGGGAGATATTTTTTTAATTTAGTAATATATATATTTTTATATTTATTATAGGAACCTCTTCACTTTTTACTGAATTACTTTGGCAGTCTATAAATAGAAGGTGAGAAATCAGAATATGTTGTTGTTATTGCCGCCGCAAAATTGATTTTGGTGACGCAAAGTCGAGTTAGTCAGATGACGGTCAGCTTGTATATGAAACATATGTAGTGTAATTAATGCCGATCATTTCTTAAAATCGAATACCCGCTATGTTGAAAATAAATAGTTCTTTGAATTAATCTTCCTATTTTCCTATTTTTTTTTATCTTCACATGCTTTCTCAAAATTAAAGTTTTCAATTTAGGTACATTTAATAAAATCATTAAATGATTATTTAATGTATCAATGTTCCTTAATTTATTCTTTAATCAACTTTGTTTGGGAAAATGTTCTTTCATTAGCATTTAAAAAAGGTATAAAAAAATATTTTAATTAGAAGGAATATGTTTGAGTAATTAAAAGTCTTCATCTGTGTCAAAAATGAATTTATTTGATACTACGTATTATAATTTGTACATAAAATGATCCACATTTTTAGTGTAACATGTTGCGTCCGCACCCTCCCGCGTCCTGAATTTCCAACACTGATCAACGGATAATCTTTTAATTTGTGTCCAAATTATTGGTTTTCGGTAGACGCAACAATTAATGTAAATAATATGTCATTATATAGTATATATATTATTAAAGTTTTTCTTAAGGAAAAAGCTTAAAACTTATAGAAAAGGGATATCGATAAGCCGTGATTGGCTGTTGTGAATTATAACAATAATAGATTATTATATTTGGAGGCAAATGTTAAACATTATAATTAATATCGATATATATATATATAGTCACGTTATAACGTGTGAAATACCAACCTTGAACTTTATAAATTTCTATGATAATAATTTATAAATTATTAATATTTCAAAATAAAAAATTTTTTAGTTTGTAACCGCGTTACACGTCATTTAAACAACATATAAAATTTAACAACAACTAAACAATCAAAACGTAAAAAAGATTGTTTCCTAAAGATAATAACCATTGAATAGTTATCTATACCTCAGTTGTCATATGAATGCGAATCACGATGTATACAAGCATTATAATGGTTTAAACAACATATAAAATTTAACAACAACTAAACAATCAAAACGTAAAAAAGATTGTTTCCTAAAGATAATAACTATTGAATAGTTATCTATATCTCAGTTTTCATATGAATGCGAATCACGATGTATACAAGTATTATAATGATAGATCATTCTCTATCATGTTAGAAATATAGGATCATCTAGACGTATATTGTTGTTCCCTATATCTGTATAATTATAATTATATCAGAATGAGGAATCAACCTTTTTAACCTAATATGTTGTAATTAATTATAAATATAGCTTTATTTTTATTAATAATTGATTTTACTATTTACAGTAATTTTTAATTCATTAATAAAAAATCAACGTCTAACTAAAAATGAGAATTTTTTTGTCATTTCAAATTATAATTAAATATAGATGAAAAATACATTAGTAAATTTTTTTTTTTTTTTTTTTGATAAAACAGCTATGGGAAAAACGTTCTCTGAAAAAGCAAGTTTGGCCATTAAACTTGCCAATTTAGATAGTAACCAATTAAAGTTGCTTAAAAATCCACCTATACCTGGCGTGTCAATAGATGAATTTCTTCCAAAAAATAGGCCCAGACGAAAATCTTCAGTTGTAAAAAAGGCAAAAAAGCCAAATTATGCAAATCCGTTTATTCTGTACCGTAGATATTATGAAAAGCTTGAAAGAACAAAAAATTCGGGAAAAAAACTTCCAAAAATTTCAGAGGCCGCTGGACGAGAATGGGAAAATATTAAAACAACAAAATCTGAAATAGTTGAATACTTTAAAATAATATCGCTAATTAACAAGGAGTATAAAAAAATGATTTGTCTCGAAGGTGATGATAAAGTAAATTATAAGTGGAAATCATACAATGTTCCAAATGATAATAATGACAGCAACATTAATAACATTGCACATCCGTCCACATCGTCATCTCCCACAACAACATCTCCCACATCGTCAGCACTTTTAAGCGATGGTGATATACAAAATGAACAATTGCTTCCGGAATATCAATCAACACATATTAACAATAATGATAATACTGGAGTGAATGTGGCATATGATAATAATATAGGGACTGAGCCTAGAACAACAGGATGTACTCAACAACCAGATATTATACAATCTGAAATTATTAACCATGGATGGTTTGCTAATGGTGTTAGCATTGAACCAGAATCAACCCAACTTCAAGTAGGCCAGAGCGAAGAAATCATTGAGCTATTATTTTTATCTATTATGGGATCACAGAATTGTTTATAATTATAATTTTCCATTTCTTTAATTTTTCTATTTCTCCCGATTCTATTTCAATTTCTCTCTTTTCTTTTAATCATTATGTGGTTTGGAATTTTTGTTATATTTAGTTCTACTATTAATAAAGTGATTGTATTAGTGTTGGATTCCGAAAGCATAGAGTTTCGCAATTCTGTAAAAAGGTTTCGCCATAAATCGAAATCAGTTTGGACTTTTGCTTTTTATTTAGTTTTGACTTTTAATTTTAGTTTTGACTTATGTTTTTTCAAAATAGTTTTTAGCAACCTTAATATATGCGTATATATATTATTTAATAAATAATTTAAAACAAATGCTGATAAATCTTATGTATCTCCCTCCGTATGTTTTATGTTTTTGAATTTATGTCTTCGTAAACCATTGATATTTTATACTCACCAATTACACTTGATTTGATTCTAATGTACAAAATTAAAAAATAAATTATTAAAGATTGGAAATTATTAAACAGTTGTTAGGTATATTTGATATGCTTACTTTATATATATATATATACTGTATATTTGTATATATTTATTATTCACTATTTCAATAACATTTTTGGGACGCTTTTTTATATCATGGAACTTACCCTCGGATGATTTGATGGACAATGTAAAGAATATATAGGTTTATATGAAATACAATCTGTGAAAAAATTTTTTGACTAAAAGAAAGTTATATGTTTGCTAGGTAATTTAATCAAAATAGATAGCACCAATGAACGATAAATTTAGCTTTAATATAAAGATACTAATACGTTGTTGTCCTAAAATTTCGAAAATAAAAGAATTCCCGTAATAATTAAGCTTTATAAATAATGAGAATTTATCTTCAGAAAATTAGTCCCCTTTTTTTCAAAACATAATAAAACATTCATTTATTCATGATAAACAAAAACATAAACACACACATTTAAAATATGCAATAAACAAACAAATTCATTTAACTAAATATAAATATTTAAATTTCATTTACATTTATTTACTTTATTTTTTTTTTTTTTTAAATGAATTGATCGGCGATTTTTTCCATATTAATATTTTATTTAGATAATATGAATCTGGGCCTTAATTTAGTTATGGAGAAAAATTCCATCGCTGGTATATTGTTGTGTTTATTTTGTTCTGGGGAGATGAATTACTCTAAAAAAAAAGGAAAAAAAAGGCGTTATAATAATATTCTTTTATAATTTACGAATTCTTGAATTTCGAGAGTCTTTAGTTGCCACCCAGGTAAATAAAGAAAGAAAAATATTATTTATTATGACTGTATTTTCCTTTGGGGAGTAGATTGGTTGGGATAATTTGGTGATTTTAAACCAGTTTTACATGACGCCTTCCTTTGCGTAATAGATTAATTTTCATGATATGGGGTCACGCGTAGCATGGTTATATTCCAAAAGCAGTTTAATTAACAGATATTAATACCCATTAATTGATTGGTTGATATTTGTGTTAACAAGATACACATATAGTCTAATTATACAAGCAGTATTAGTATACAATTATTATTATTATTGTATTTACTGTTTAGATAATATGGGAATGTCATAGAGGAAATTTATTACACAAATTGTAGTGTTTATTCCAAAGAATATAATAATATTATTTATATCAACTATAGGGAAATTTTTTATCAGGAGAAATTTTAAAATGATCAAAACAAAGTTTGTTATAGTAGCCTTGCTGTTCTCCCAATTTATCTTTCATTAATTAGCTCGTTACAACCGGAAAAAGAGAAAAATATATGGTAATACTTGTAATATTCTTGTAACAAGTTTGATCATATGAATGATTGTTTAACCTTAGTTTCTTTTTTTTTGTTATTATTGCTATGGAAAATAAAATTTTTTACGTCAGCTTGTGTTAGATAACCAAACTTGTAATATTCTTGTAACAAGTTTGATCATATGAATGATTGTTTAACCTTAGTTTCTTTTTTTTTTTGTTATTATTGCTATACACGGAAAATAAAAAAAATTTACGTCAGCTTGTGTTAGATAACTAAACTAATATTAATTAAATTTCAAAATACTTATAATCACAATCATCATTATCTACATATCTATGTTAATTTTTTGCTCGTCGATTTATGAAGCATTTATTAACAAATATGAATTTTTTTTTCGTTCCAAATTATGATAAGATGGTATATTTTTAATAATTTTTTATTTAAATAAAAGAAAAATTTTAAAAGATTTTTTTTTATGATTATTTCATTAGGAATTCTACCTAGTGTCAAGTTTACTGCTTATCAATCAAACGTGCTTAAAAATTCGCTCGTGTAGCCAGATGTTTTTATTTCAAGAAAACAGTCACGAAAATCAATAGCGGTTGTGTTGGATTGAGTACTGTACACTTCGTGCAGCAAGTACTATACGAACCATTTTTAATAATGATAATCGTACTTACATGCCTTTTTTGGGTTGGGTATGTGGGATCTCTAAAAAGGATCATCAATTAATCCAAACACTTTAACAGTCAGTGTGCAAATCCTTTCTCTTTTTTTTAATTAGTGCGTGTAACATTCGCTTGAATGCCAAAAATTTCTT